AAAGCAAAGAAGGTAAGTAAAGATAAGGCAAAGATGAGTAGACTGTTGAAATAAAGTGACAAAGAAAGAGCACTTCAAGCTGATATAAGGTATTCAAGAAAAACAGAAAGGTCGTGATCGCAGGCCATAGAATATGAGTCACGAAGATGAAAAGGACGAGAAAAATGCTCATCAATGAAAAGTTGGAAAAAATCATTAACTTGGGCACAAATGTTGGGGGAAGGACGAAAATAAAAAATCATCAAAGGGAGGGTCATGAAGTAAAGGTACTTTAGAGGCACTGGCATTGATAGATGAAAGAACGTCACATACTGAGTAATGAGCAAAGCAATCAAAGAACAAGAAAGCACCTGTTTCGCAACAGGAAAAGAAGAACCAAAAGCAAAGGCTGGAGGAGGTAAAAAAACTGGTCAAAATCATCTACAGGCAAGGCAGGCTACATTAAAGGTAAGGAAACAAAACAACAAAGTATAGAAACTGAAGAAAACACAGACAAAAGGGAACCAGCCACCTGACACACAATAACTGTAACATCATGAACAGATAATGTGCCTCCAGTCACCATTGTGACAGGTGTAAAGGAGTCTTGAGGAGAAACATCAGAGGCCCTCAATGCAGAAACAATGTATATGTGCAAATTCATAGTAAAGAGTTGACACCACAAACAAAAATATATTTTTTTTGTATGAAACAATAAAACATTAATGTGGTGACAAATAACCATGAAATTGCAAGCCCATGGAAGGAAAGAAGAAAATCTTTGAAAATTGCAGAAAAACTTTAAATGCACAGGAAAAAAAGATCTGAACACAGACAGAGCTAAGAAAACAACAAGTCTATGATTATGTGATAGTGCAGTTGCACGAGGTAATAGCTCTTAGTGATGCAGTGAGCTAAGTAGTTTCTGACTGTCTAAGAGAATAATTTTACCACAAACTTGCTGGACAGCTCCTACTTGGCAAATGAATCACTAACGTCAACTAAATATTTAGAAATAATTAAGTAGCCAGTTAACCAATTCATTTACATACATCACTTGAATAAGATAAATATAAAACTAATATTCAATAGATTTGAAGCATAAGAATATTTTGCAATCACCTACCATACTCACTAAACAGTAAACTTATCTGATGACAATTCTATTTGATAAGCATAATCAAAATAAACTCATGTTTACAAACGTTGCAACTCAATAAAAACCATAGTATACCTATTAAAATGTAAGAACATTAATTTTAAGCAAAGAACCCAAATATAATATTGTACCTGTATTAAGCTTGAAGCAATCTAATCATGCAACTGTTTCATACTGTATATATATTCCTGTACAACTCTTGTACCTGATGATGAGAAAAACCTTCTCCAAACATTGTAGATTTGTTAGTGTTAAACTTTTAATAAAGTTATATTTGTTAATTATTCAGTCTGTCTCTTAACTGCATAAGCTTATCTCAAATTATCTGATGTCTTCTTACTGAAAGAAATTTCTGTAGCTTACAAATGGACATAATTTAATGCACAGAATACATTTACAATTCAAAAACAAAAGGAACTTAACAGAAACTATAAAAACTCTTAAATCTACATATTTACTATACTATTACATTATAGTCTACTTCTTTCTCTATCCACTCTTTATCTGAAATTGTATTTTAGATAGATACTTAGCTCTCTGCACCAAAGAGCTTTTACCTCACACGCAACTGCCATGGAATTTCCTGCACATGCCACAAGCCTTGAAAAACTCTCACCCCTATATGTGTGTCATAACACTGTAGCCCTCCCAATAAAAGGTATAATTGTAAAGATGTTGATAGAGATTGGGGGAGTGGTATAACTTAGTTTGTCTTGAAGAAATCAAGCCACCACAACAGAGAGAGAGAGATGCAGCAAGGAAGAGACACAAGGGCAGATGAGGGATCACAGGACATGTCCTACTGATTCTCCATAGCCCACAGAATGAGATTCATGTGTGCATGATAAAGAAGGAACAGGGCTTTGAGAGAAGCCAGTGTCCCCAAAAGCAAGAGAATCTCTTGCAAAGGAAGAGAAGGAGAGTAAATAGCATTTGACACCAAGATCTCCATGGCATAAAGTTGTAAGGGAGAAAGATGAGCCCTGTCCCACGCTGTGGACAAAATACTGAGTGGGAGTCAAACCAGACTAGGGTAGCGTGACCTGCTAGCCCAGGTGAGATGCCTCTGAAGAAGAATGGAGGTAGAAGTTGGCAAATCCAATCCATATAATAATGGAAATGAAGGCTCTGAAGATACATGTACCTAGTGAAAGATCGCATGATTGGGTTGCAAACATAACAAGCCATGGCTAGGCCAAAGGAAGTACAAAGAACTGAAATACTCATTCATTGTGGATAAACCAGAGGAAATGACAGGACATGAGACATATTGAAATGTAAAGAAAGGCATTTGAAATATCAGTTTTGGTCATCTACAGCCCAGGATGAAGGAACAACAAAATTTGAGAATAAAAGTCCTGAATGGGGCAGGAGACAGGTTCTATAGCTTCCACAGCCAACAAAGAGGCAACTGTGTCCTGAAGATGTTGCAGATGCATAGGATCAAAGTGAGAAGGATAGGAGAAAGAAAAAAGTAAAGGATAAAAGTGTACAGATAGATAACAAGAAAGAAAGGATAGGTATGTTTCTTATATAAAAAAAGAGTGGCTGCTATTAAAAAACCAGGTCAGCACACATAGAGCATAAAGGATAAAATTATAGAAAAGCATTATAAATATAGAAAGTTTAAATTGATTGCAACGATGGGATAGTTGGAGAATTACAGAAGATCAAGAGAGTTTGTCATATACAAAATAAAAAGTATAAGAAAAAAAACTTTGGCTAAAAATGTAAAACTTAATAGTAAGGATTTCTTCAGATACATTAAGGATAAGCAAAAAAATGTTTGGATGAAAATAATGACTTTGAGGTATGATGCAGAAGGTTAATATCTGTTGATTACAGATGTCTGGGATATTAAATTCTACTTTTTCTTCAGTTCTTACTAATGAAGATTTATCCTTCATCCTGAACAGTTACTAAATGGAAAAAAATTGAACAAGATGATCACATTAATTCTGAGCTTGTTAAGAAAAAAATGGTAAGTTTAAAGAATGATAAAGCTCCTGGGACAGATAATATTTACTCTAGGGTTTTGAAAGAGGTTAAAGATCAAATAAATGAGCCACTTACTTCTATTTTTTCTATGTCCTTGAATAGTTGGCAAGTGCCAGAAGACTGAAAGTTGGTTAATGTTATTTCTTTCTTTAAGGGAGATGATAAGAATTGTCCCAGTAATTAAAGACCAATTAGTCTTACATTAGTGGTGGGAACAATTTTTGAAAGTCTGATGTAAGATGCTTTGCAAATTCATTTAATAAAGTTTAAAATTTTGTTGGATAGTTATCATGGTTTAGGGAAAAATTTTGCCTAAGTAATCTTTTGGCATTCTTTGAAGAGGTTACTGTTTATATAGACAAGGGTATGGGTGTGGATATGGTGTATCTGGATTTTCAGGAAGCATTTGACAATGTGCTACTTAAAATGCTTGTTAAAACGTTATCTCTGTAGGTATGGGGTATAGGTTTGCTCATTGGATAGAAAACTGGCCTGATGGAAAAAACAGAGGGTTGTTATAAATGGAGTTCAAACTGGGGTAATGTCACAAGGAGTACCTCAGGTCTGTGTTAGGACCTATGCACGTTTTGATTTACATTAATGATATAGATGAAGGAATGGTTAATAGATTATTTAAATTTGCTGATGACATTAAAGCTTTACAAATTTCTGGCTGCAAGGAGTATGCTGCCATTTTACAAAAAGATTTGCATTATTTGGTGAGTTGGGAAAATAAATGGCAGATGTCCTTTAATTAAAATATATCAAAGGTAATGCACGTGGGATATCAAAGTTTGAATTATAATTTTGGTAGTGATATCCTTAACAGTGTTATGAAAGAAAAATATCATGGTGTTATGGTTGATTAGTCTCTTAAGCCAACCAAGTAATATGCTATTATTAGTGGCAGGGCAAATAGAATTTTAGGTTGTATCTATAGAAATACTGAAAACAAGTGTAAAGAGGTTATAATGTCATTATATACGTCATTCATTAGGCCACATTTGGAGTACTGTGTTCAGTCTTGGGTTCATTTCCTTACGAAGGACATTGAATTGTTGGAAAGGGTACAATGGAGGACTACTAGGATGATACCTGGGATGGAAAGGTTGTCATAAAAGGATAGATTAAAGCATCTGAATTTGTTTTCTCTTGAAAAAAAGAAGAATTAGAGGGGATCTGATTGAGGTGTTTAAGACTGTTAAAAGAATTGATAGAGTTAATGCCTCATATTTTTTCATATTTAAAGGTAGGAATAAAGGATACAAATATAAGTTTTGGCAGGGTAGGGGTCATCCTGAAATAATAGTCTTATTTTCTAATTTTCTTATTTCTTTCTCTATTTTTCTAACTATTTCTTATCTTGGCCTTTGGAATAGGGTGCCTTCAGATGTGGTAGGTGTAGTTAATTTAGGGGCAATTAAAGGAAAGCTTGATAAGTATTTGAATTTTTTAGCATTTAGCTTAATTTAATGTATTGGATGGCCTAAATGCACCAAAAGGTCCCTTGTTGTCCTTTAATATTATATGTTATGTTATTTTGTTCTTAATAGTCCTAAACCACCAATGCATGTACCCTGTTGTAGAAAGTTCAAGATAAAATTAGTGTACACAGTAAAAACAAAAAAAGAGAACTTTTACTTAATTTGTCTGAACTTAAAAACAATTTGTTACAGGTTATTATCTACAGTAATATCACATGTATTGTAACAGACTTAACTGATGTAATGAAAACTAAATCTTGAAACAACAATACTCACTGGTTATAATAATCTGTGGGTTGATTAGTCTAACATAAAAGGTCCAATTTAGTTGATCAATTATTCTCCTCTTCTCAACTTTTTTATTCTTCAGTGTTACTTACCTTTCTCTTTCAGAACAGAACTCTACAACAACATCAGTACTGGTGCTTGGCATCGGACTATAACCATCAATGTGATGACTGTCCAATATTAACTGACTGTTTCCTTGCAAATCATTTTCTGTCACAATCATTGTTGTTGTTGTTGAAATACAATCCTCTATTTGTGTCATTTGTTCATATGATGCATTGTTAGCATGAACAACTGTTTGAACATTATCTTGAAGCTCTTGAGAAGAAGCAACAGACTCTGGTACAGGAATTATTAGTTCTTCTACATGTACCCGCTTTTCAGGAGGAAGAACTTTAATTTCATCATCATTTGTTGTCGACGGATTAACTACCTCTTTTGCACGTTTCATGGTAAGTCTTCAGCCCTTCTATACTCTGTTGGAAATTAACAACTTTCTGATCAATGAATATAAGCTTATAGTAAAAAAATTAAAAATCCACAGTTTGGAATTTAAAAATACTAGAAATTAATAGCACGATTTCTTGAAAAACTGAAATACAAAAATTGTTCAATATAAAAGCTATTAAAACTGATTAACAAATGGATAATGTGGAAATAAAAGAAATATGTCCCAAAAGATTATTCAGGCAATTGCCTGAATGGATTCTAACAAACTTTTACAGATAAATCCCACTGTTCAATGAATAATCATAATTTCTGAAAGCCACACACACAAGCCTACTAAAATGATTAAACAGCTACAAACTTTTTCAACAAATCACATTCTGCAATACTTGACACTTACCTATGTAATGGACACTAGCTTACCAAAGTGCTTAAAACTGCAAGGGATCATTTCAAAATGTACCCCATAATGTCTCAAATGAACAATACCTTTTTCAGCCTATGGCTTTAAAGCCATAAGTGTATGCCTACTGATGGGAATGAAAAAAATTTTTCCCACCTAATGCTTATATAATATTGCTTAGTAACCCTAAAAGGAGGCAGAAAAATGCAAGAGGCCATCTGAAAACATTTCCCATACCAATTCATACAATATTTTGGAGGTCACATATGAGGTACCGTTTGCAGTTTTGGTCTCTTAACTAAAGAAAATACCAATAAATTAGAAATATTACAGGAGCAGGACATTACAATACCTGGTATAATGCTTAGTTATATAAATAATAATGAAGATTAGATTATAAACTATTATAATTCTTTACTAGTATTATTTTTCTTCTTTATTTGCATGTCTACTAGTGGGGTGCCTCAGGAATAAGTGCTTTGATAGGGAAATAATTAGTAAATTAGTAAAATTTGCACATGACATTAAACACTTTAGTATTTTTTGCTGTGTTGAGGATGTTGAGGTATGATTTGGATCAATTAGAAAGTTGGATAAACATTTCACAATTTTTAAATGGCTTTCATTATATTATACTAAATGTAAGATAATGCATTAGGATTATAATTTGAAACACTGCTTACATATAAATCAGAGCCCACTCAGTAGAGTGACTGAAGAAAAGGATCTAGGCTTAGTAACGGATAAGTCATTCAAGCCACCAAGACAGTGCTACACTGCTAATCACAAAGTTAACAGAATTTTTGGGTGGCTGCAAATAAAAAACCAGGCTGACTCACAAAAAAGCATAATGGATAAATTTATGAGGCTTAAATTGACTGTTATGATGGGAGCCTTTCACTACTGAGATTCATTCCAACAGGATATTAAGCAATTGTAAAGAGTGTATGAAAAAAGGTTTATTGAAAATGTATAAATTAACTGTAATAATTTCTTTAAATACACTAAGGACAAGCAAAGTGTTAGGAAGGACATACAGAATTTGAATAATAATAAAGGAAGTGTTATTTCTGATGATTATGAGATGGCTAGGATACTAAATTCTACCTCTTTTTCATTTTTTAGTAAAGAAGATTTAAGCAATATTCCTCATTCTGAGGCAATCCATTTCAAAGTCCAACCACCCCATAAGAAAAACTATACTTTTTCTGGCTGAAGATAAACCCTACCCTGTCAAAATTTATATCTGTGTCCTCCTACTTTCACCATTAACTATGAAAAAAGATGATGAATGAATACTATCAATTCTCTTCACAATCTTACACACTTCAAACAGATCCTTTCTGACTCATCTGTTTTTAAGACAAAACAATTTCAGAGATCGTAACCTGTTCTTGTATGACCGTCTTTTCCTCCCAGTTATCATCCCAGTAGCTTTCCTCTGAACCCTTTCCAACAATTCAATGTCCTTCGTAAGGAATCAGGCCCAAGATTAAACACAATACCCTTTTTAGACTTGTATTCAATATTTCTATGCAGAGAACCTAAAATACTATTTGCTTTACTACTAGAAACAGTACATTGCTTGAATGGCTAGAGACTGATCAATCAGAATGCCAACATCCTTCTCTTTTACAATACAGTTAAGATGATTCCCATCAAAATTATACCTATAATTAAAATTATGACACCCAACATGCATTATCTTGCATTTGTTATAATTAAAAGCCCCCTGCCATTTAATAATCTAACCCACAAAATTATATAAATAATTTTGTGAAGCAGCAGCATCCTCATCATAGCTAACAATACCCAAGACCTTAATATCATCAACAAATTAAAGCAATTTATTGGCCATTCCTTCATTTAAGTTAATGATAAGTACAGAGCTGGACAATTAGTGGAATTTGATAACTGACTGGCTGTCAGGCTCAGTAATCAATTCCATTCAACTAAATTATTATTCTTACATTAGTCTAGAAGGGTTGGAATAAAAGAAAATAGTAATAATCAGAAATATTAATTTCTGTTAATTGACTATTTTAATGAGTCATGATTAAGCTGAACAATTTTTAATTAATCAAAAATAATAATGTCAAATCATAATGAGAATATTTTGAATGGTTGGAAGAATCAAAGACAGTAATAATCAGAAACACTAATTTCAATTAGCTTATTAACTGTATGACTTTAATCAGAATTTTGATCAATTGATTATTTTATGTGACACTAATCAATGGAATCAGTGCTCATAGGTAATTGAATACATTGATTGAGTTAACTGTCTAGCTCTACAAATGACCTTAAATAATAGTATGCACAAGGTAATACACTTGCATTATTATAGTTTGGATCGTATTAAAATAGATAGAAAATCACTTAATAGCATGCCTGAAGAAAAGGATCTTGGCATAGTGGTGGATAAGTTCCTCAAACCATCAATGCAGTGCTGTGTTGCTAGTAGAGTTTTAGAATGTATTTACAGATACATTGGTTATAAGTCAAAAGAGGTAATTACCTCCGTACAAATCACTGGTTACGCTTCACTTTGAATACCTCCTAGAATTTTAGTCACCTTATCTATGAAAGGATATTAACTTATTGGACAGAAGAAAACTATTAGGATAATTCTGTGGATGGAAAGGTCAGATTATAGGGATAGATTACAATCTCTTGAGTTATTTTTTCTTTAGAAAAACAAAGGTAAAAGGTAATTTCACTGATATTCTTTACAGTTTAATTTAGTGAATGGAACATCCTATATATATCACAAGTCTCTTGTTGTTCTAAAATTTTATGTCATGATAGATAGAATAAAGACCACTTACTGCCTTGTGCTATATGATGAGATGATGCAATTTTATGATTTAAAAAAAAATACAGTTAAAGATGCAGTTCATTTTTCTAACAGGGTAATTAATATATGGATTAGCAGAACCAGAGGCCAACATTTTACAAAAGTTTAAAGAAGGAAACTGGTGATTTCTTGAATAACTAAGCATGGGTATAAATTTTCACTTTTCTCAAATTGTGCATTCAAAAACAGCCTTGAAGAACCAAATGGTCCCTTGTTGTACATATATTAAGTAAGTATGTATCAGAATAGATTTTTAAGGACATCAGATATTTTTAGATTGACTGACATTATTTTCTAATGAAAATTAAGTCTGTAGCAGTAGTGTTCTTTACAATTACTAGTACTGAAAACTATATACATTAATTAAGCTTATAGTTATTCAAAATTCTGAAGGTAAATTATTCTTCCTTTAAAGAATAAGTCCAGGCATGCTTTTCAGACAGTCTGTAAACCTAATTAAAACATCTTGTAATGGCACAAAGATGAAGCGAATGGTTCAAGTCCAAGCACATCTAAATTATGAGCTTCACTTAATGAATATATTTAACTTATTTTCTTTCATTTTCACAAGATAACAAGAGCCCTTTTGGTCCATCTAGGCTATCCCATTTTTCACAAACAACCTATCATAAACTATATGGCAAAAATTTTATAAGAGCAACATAGCTATTCAATTCTGAATTGTTCTTGTGTCATTTATGAGTTATTGGAGACCTCAGTTCGCCAAATAACATTAAGATATGTATCACAATATTTGTCCTTAATCTTAAGCCTGGATAAGAATATGCTTTACTCTAAGACAAATTTTCTCACTCTTTCTCCCAAAAAATTATAATTTACAGTTATAGTCTGGGTTACCAATAGTTATACAAAAATACTGCATCATCTGTATTTATGAAATTGCTCCATATTCGAGACAAGTCTTTGTGGAACACTGTATACATACCATAAACTCTTAGGGCAAAAATCTCCTGCCAAAAAATAAATAAATAAATAATAATAATACAGTATCCATCCCTTTTTAAAGTTTATTTTTGTCTTGGCTACATGATAGCAACGACTGTTATGTTTATATTTTATATATGTTATTATTTCTTACCTCTAAATATGACTCAAGCAGCATGATAATCTGTACTGTCGGTAAAACGAAGTGACAATGTCATAAAAAGTTAAAGCAATAATGAATATTAATACTAATGCTAATAGTAATATAATAGATTAATAATAAAAACTATTGTCTGAGATTAAGTTACACGTTGATAAAAATATTTAATTCAATCTAACAGTTAACTAACAAGTTATATATTCTTAAGTTTTACTTTTACCAGTTTACACGAATTGTAGTATTTAATTACACACAAAACTTGCTTATTTCACAATGTGAAATCAGTATAACAGTAAAACTATTGTACAGAGGACAACAGCCTACACTATTAAGAAAGAAAATAAAACATATTATGTTTATGTTCCAAGAGGAACAGGAACAAAAACAGGTATTTCTATTTCCGGATGTGACGCGCCAAACCAAACATTTGGACAAAGCATGAAACTTGAAACTAAAGAAAGTTTGAAGAGAATGATTGTTATTTAGGATTTACCATTTTTATGAGTCTCTTACCTTACACTTGTGCTGCCAGATATACTTTTTACAATTGTCTAAACCACGAACAAAATTTTTACATAAAAAACTGAACTTTGCACCACACAGGAAATTGCAGACTAACGTTCACGATTGTAGAAAAAATAGCTAAACCCATAAACGTGACTGTTCTTTTCGTCTCGAAGAAGTTCGTTTAACACGTGAATATTATTAATATATATTAAAATAAATGAGAAATCAGGCAATGTATCCAAAACAGCCCCAACTAATTATAAATGTAGTACAATAGAAAATTATTGGTTTGCGAGATAATAAAATATCCTTACTAACAACGGAAGGTGTACAATTTTTGAGTTGAGAAGACGCTCTTGCACGTTGAAAAGTACTGCTTGATGAAACGAAAGAGAAATAATTATAATATATAAATAATTATTTGATTATGCATATATTTTTCTTCAAAGAATATTGAAAACAAAACAACATGTGATTATGCAATTCCTAAGTCACCCCAGAATAGTCTTGTAAAAGGTACTAAAAAGTTGGGGAAGTTTTAAAGAACAAAAGAGGCTATCCTTATGAAAGACAGTCTCGACAATGAAGTACAGATTTACTGTAAAATATATTGTATCCACCATGATCTCATGTATACTGTGCTCCCTGCTGTCAGAAATACCTTAACAACTTTTGTAAACTATCATACCGCGTTTGTTTATTTTAGCGCAAAGCCACATATTGAGCTATCTGTGCTCTTTCCACTGTTGGGAACAAGCCTCGGAATTGAGTGTATTAAGTCCATAAACTTACCGCTGACCAATAAATGGACAACCACCCTGCATATTTGCTATCAATATAACTGGGCCCGGCATGTCTAGGTGGTTAGGGCGCTCGACTCGCAATCTGAGGGTCGCGGGTTCGAATCCCCGTCCCACCAAACATGCTCGCCCTTTCAGCCGTGAGGACGTTATAATGTGACGGTCAATCCCACTATTCTTGGTAAAAGAGTAGCCCAAGAGTTGGCGGTGGGTGGTGATGAATAGCTGCCTTCCCTCTAGTCTTACACTGCTAAATTAGGGACGGGTAGCGCAAATAGCCCTCGTGTAACTTTCGCGAAATACAAAACAAACAAACAAACAAACATCAATGTAACTTCAAAAAATACTGTACAGTAATGAATGTGAGTCTTACATATAACCGTTGTTAATGCTATCACTAACCACAGAATGTACAGAGTGGCTATTTAAGGGTGTCTTTAAAATAAAATTTATTTGTGCAAAGTCGATACTTGTTTCAATTCTTGAGGTATGGTATTCCTAGATATATGAATATTCAGGTGAGTTAGACCGTAAAACCATGGGTTCATAGATTTAAGATATTGTTACGTCACTGGTCGTTTGTTAATTTCCGCTATAAATTCTCCTCGAGGAACTTCAGCGATACATGTCCTTTCTTAAATAAAACTAGTTTATTCTTTCTCTATACAACTTTGCAATATACAGAATTTCCACGGTCACTTTCACTTAAACACACGCTATAATTCACAACGATTCACGCACTTTAGTTACGGTCACTACAGCTCACTTGACTCAATTATCTGTCAATCTGCTTTTATTAGCTCCTATTTATTTGCCGGGCTTATATACTAAAATAGAGGGCGTCTGGCAAACACTAGAGCCTTCATGATCCTTCTAGCAACTCATGACGTATTACCAATGTCGCGTGACTTCCACTTTTGTAACACTGCCCCTTCCTTAGTATTGTTCGTCCCAAACAATAGCCACTTATATCAAACCAATAGATAATTAACAATAACTTTATTAAATGTACAGAATTTACAAACACAAAATTAAAATTAAACAGTCTCTTAATTTTATGGGACATATCTTCTTCCGTACTGGTCTCCGTCTCGTTGGCTTCTGCTTCACGTGTGGTTCATCTGCTCCATCAGGAAATGTCCTATTATCGGTAACAGTCACATCAGTGGTAGTAACTTCATCAAAGGCTTCACAGTTTCCCTTCTCAGAACCAGGTAGAGTTTCTTCTTCGACAGTGGATTTTTCAGGTGACACGTCTTCTTGGAGGGATCTTTATTGGACGGTGATTGCCTGTGTTTATTCTGTGCTCCACAAGGTCTGTGCAGCCGAGGTCATGATCTCCTTTCGAAAAGACGTCTACATAATTCGCCAAAAGTTCTCTAACTGGAAGAGCCTGTGATGATGACAAATGGACTATGCTCTTCTTATAGATGCCAGTTAAATATTCTGGGAGTCAGTGGTGTGAAGAGGTTCTTGTACCTAAGACCTTGGGGAAGGGCGGAAAGGGTTCTACTATTTGATTCGACTCTTTGCGTTGGATGCCCTCCCGATATGGATGCCCGCGGCCCCGGCACCTTTCGCCCCCGCCTCTGCACGTTACTGCTGGGAGTGTATGTCCTTTCTTTATAGTTGTATTTCTTGCTTTAACATTGACTGGGTTATCTCCTGGCACACATCCAACAATGCCTCTTCCTTAAGCGTCTGTTCACATTTTGAGAAATTGGCCACTGTTTTAGGTACTACTTGATGACCTGCCACAAGTGACCTTTCAATCTTCAAATCTGCTGGCCTGGATGGGTCTTCCACTGCTTCCACAAGCATTGGGCTTCCTTGGAGATGTTCTTTCTATCCTACCCCAAATTATCTTCTCTGACATAGGGGGTATTGTAGTTGAATTAAGTGCTGTGACATGCAAATCAACAGATGTAGCAACACTTACTGGAATTTGTATTTTGTTGTTTCCAATCGTCATTTTATAAAAATTAATTACACACTTCCTCGGTAGTAAGTAGTCCAACCCTAATATGCACTGGTCTTCAATGTCAGCCAAGTATACTTTGTGTCTGTCCTTCATGCCTATGAGCTCAATAGTTATCCACACTGGTCCCCACAACCTTGCAGAATGTCCTGTCACACCACAGAGCTTCTGGTACTCCTTTGTGATTCATCATTTTGATACTCACAAGGGTTTGCTGAGATACAGAATCTATGACAAAGTTGCACCTTTGGCCATCCAGCTTTCCTGTCACGTAGATACTATGTGTGCTTGGTATTTTACACTTAGCTGTTGGGACTTTCACAATGGGGGTTGGTGGGCATCCCTCAACACCAACCACTACTGGTTTCCTGAAGGTGACTTCTTGGTAGTATTCTTCTTACACTGGCTCTTCATATGTCCTTGCTCTCTACAGTTCCAACAACCTTTCTGAGTAGCAGCCTTTCCTGCCGTGGCATCTTCCCTGTGTTGAAGTTGCCAGCATTGAGCTCTCTTGTGTCCAGGTTTATTACAGTGCCAGCAAAGGCCCTCAAACCTCTCTGAAAGCTGCCCTTTTCTGGCCTTGAATCCTAATGACTGTACCTACCTTGGTACGTCTGTGCTGGACTTAACGTGGGATTCGAATTCAAGAGCTCTGGTCATTGCATCCTGCATAGTAGAGGGGTGTGCTTGCTTCACTTGTATCTTCAGTTGTGGACTGTCCAAGGCATCTACAAACTGATCCCTCAGCAACAACTTGAAGATATCGGGTGGCGCAGTTTGGCAGGCCTTGTGTGCCATACTTTCCAAATCCTGTGCCAGCTCTTGCAGGCTCTCCCCTTTAGCATGGACTTTTATCCTAAACCTAGCCCTGTAGACTTCAGACTGATTTTGGGTTCCATACCTGAGTTCTAGAGCAGCTACCAGTGCTCTATAGTTGTGCCTTTTGTCTGCTGACAACTGTCGAAGTATTTCCAGTGGTTGTCCCTTTAAGCTCGTTGCCAGATATACTGCTTTCTGCTCCTCTGTCAATCCATTCATCTCTGCGAAGAGCCAAATTGTGCTCTATATGCTTCCCACGGTGCCTTCCCATCGAATTCCTGTGGCTTCCTTTGTACTAGATCAGCCCTATTGCTGACATTCATATCTGGGACGTGACTTCAAACAGGACTGAAGATGTCTGCATTAGGGTTTAGCTGCGGGGTCTGGAAGGGGCTTCCCGTTGCCTGAGGCTGATTAGTCGATGGCTAATATATCCTCCTCGTGTAAAAGACAGTAAATCATCCTTTAATGCATTTAATTCACTTTGAAATTTGCTAATGTTTTCCATTTGTACTTCTTGCCACTGTTGTTGACTTTCCTGAAGTTGCTGCTGACTTTCCTGCAACTGTTTGAGACTTTCTTCCTGTTTCCTTTCTTGTTCCAGTTGCCACTGCTGTAATCTCTCTTCTTGTTTCTTTTCTCTTACTTCTTGTTTCTTTTCTTTTTCCTCCTA